ATCAAATTTGATTTTTTATATTGCTGCCCATCAATCTGGAAATAATGACAGCTCATAAGAAAAAAGCACATTATTTTTCACAATAAAACTTCTCAAAATACTATTCCTTCATCCCATTGTCTTCTATTTTATAACTTTCAACCAACTTATAAGTGATAACAGAAATCAAAATCTAAATATTTAAAAATAGAACAAGTAGTGATTATCATAGTTAAAATATATATACTAATATTTTACCACTCACTGTGCAGAAAAAAGTAAAGATTCTAATAATGTATGTAATTACAAAGTCAAAAATAAAAAGCAATATGCACGTCAGCCATAAAATGAATATTGAAAAAAGAAAATATAGGATATATTAGAAAGATGAATATTCATACATAAAATGGTCCACACAAACCAAAATAGTTTAATCTAGAAAAAAAAAAAGTACTCGCTTAGAGGAAAAGCAAGTAATGTCAACATAGTTGTAATAAAAAAAATACAGTATTTGTAAAGTTTTAAAAAGCATAACTCCTGAAATTTCAGTTAACTAAAGTCCACTTACTTTTAATTTCCAATTATTAAAATCTAACTAAAATTACCAAAACAAACATTATATACAACTCCGCCATTAACCCACCAACATGCTGTTTTTCTAAATGTTTGCACGTGGTGTCCCTATCTGACCATAAACTCTTCTTACCATTTACAACACAGATCAGGTGTGAGGTGTGCTCTTCCCTTTGTACTCCCAAAATACCCTATGCTTGCTTTCTTTAGTAGCCTGTGACTCCATTAAGCAAAAACAATGTTTTATTTATTTTTAGCTCCAGATTGCTTAGGAAGTACACTTAGCATAGGAAAGGTATTCAAAACAGATTTGTTCTTTAATTAAATTTCATCAGTCATGGCCAAAACAACAGAATACTCAGATTAAGCTAAATCAGTGGCATAAACTGGTTTGTAACTAGAGGCTCTTCATCCCTATCTTAAAACTTTAGGTCGTCATACAAGTAAAAAACAAAACAAAACAAAAACACACACACACACACAAAAAACAAAAAAACAAGAAAACCTACTTCACCATTATTACAAACATAGAAACAAGAAAATAAATGCCTTGCCTGAATGAGTTGTTAATAAATATCTCTCAAGGTGAATTATCAATACACACTGAAGTGACCTCCCTCCTTCCAGTAAGTATTCTCCAAGATTTTCTTCTTCAAAATTATAACTCTCCAGAGCTTTTCTTTACCTCCTTGATTTTGCTTATTCCAGTCCTAGATGATGAATAATCCTCCAGGAGAAAGTTGTGGCAATAATGGGAGGCCCCAATTCAAAACAGAGGCAAAATTTTAAGAATAGCAGAATTATTCACACTCATAGTCTGATCTATTATTAAAGATACAGTATTTTGAAACAGAAAAGTCTTATTTAAAAGATATATTAAATGACCCAAGAAGTCTCCATACATCAAATATTTGGTATGGAGCTAACTATATCCTACACCCCAACTCTGTTTTCCACCCATTAAATTCAATGAATATCCCACTTATTACAAGTTACTAAAAATAACCAGTTAACACAATTTCTTATCCTATGGATTGAGGTTAGGGAGGTTATTCTCTGACATTATGAGGATGAAGGTAATCTCTAATTTAGAAGTAAAAGAAAAATGAGGGTTCAATTTTGGCATTATTCCAGCTTTCCTCCTCTTTGGGGGGGGGGGGGGCATTTTGCTTAAAATAGAGCTCACTTTAAATGGGAACAAAAAACAACAACAAAATATTTTAAAAATTAATGTTAAGGGATATATATATATATATATATATATATATATATATATCTCAAGTGATTCTGGTAAGAGCACTAAATGGTCACTAAAAGTAAACTCTCAAATTCCTAATACTCATTTAGATGCCTAGTACCCCTTTAAAAAACTTCTATTTTCCTCATAACACTGAGAGTCTTAATTTAACCAAATAAATTCTACTTTTTTTTTTTCAAACTTGAAAAAGGAACATGGTAATGCCAAACAAAGTGGACATTAAAAGTATATTCTTAAAATAGCTCTGAAATAAAAAGCTAACAAAGATCATCAAATAATGTTCAAAATAGGATCAAACTAAAAAAAAAAAAAAAAGCTTCAAATTGAAAGAATAGAAATGTATTAAAGTAATTACTACACCAAAGAGATCATCTTAAAATAATAGTTAAATTCACTAACTAGAAAATTATATTCAAATTCTGTAATAAAATAAAAGCCAAATGTTATTTAATACTTAATGAACTCCATTTGAGTGACTCCAGAACAAATCAATAACTTAAGATCTTAGAAAAATCCAAGGCTTAAAACATAAATATTTAGCAGGATAGCAATAACAAACACAACATTCCTTCCCCTCTATGAACACAACACTACCACCATTATCTCAACCCTGAACATCCAATTAAGCCCTGTAAATTTTATCTAAAGAAAACTTCATGTAAAAATGCATTAACTTTTTAAAAGTCCAGACATTCAAATATTAATAGAAAGAAAAAGCACATCAGATCATCGCCACAATGACATTAACTATATCCTTTACCTGCCATGTGGCATCATAGAATCTGGCTGTCCACAGCACCTTAAGTGACTTAAATGGTAATTGAAAGCCTGACATTTGTTTTTCAATCACAAATTCATAGACCTCTGATCTCTGACTCTTCCACATCTTGAATTCTCTCTCTCCTTCTCAGCTGCCTCTAACTCAACCTTCACTCATATTTCTAGACAATTACAATAAGAAATTTTCTGTTACTGTCTGTAGACAAGGCCTCAGACCTTGTATACTGCATCCAAGCCCATAGTTTAATTGAAAATTTTGGCTTATATTTGGCTTATCTCTTTTCTCTAATGGTGAATAGAAACTGAAAAAATAAATAAAACAAATTATTTAATTTTTTATTATAAAATTCTTTAATATAAAGTTGATAAAATCTAAAATAGATGACTATAAAGGAAACTGCCTATGCCATCTAAGGATTTCATTTATTGAAGTTTATTTTATTCCTAATTAACATAATCAAGCTGGGAATACTGTACCTGAACAGAGGTTTTCTTTGGGAACTAAAAGCTACAACTTAACTATGGTCCTAGTACTCAAGAAAAAAAAATCATTTTAATATTAAGTTAAAAGCTGATGAAAAACCTCTGGTTTCATTGAACATCAGATCTTCTTTATAGGAGAACCAGATGGAGAAACCATGTCTAAATAAAAAAATCTGACATAAAATAAACTAAGGAGACTGTTTTAAGAATCATATTTAAGTTAAATTTTTAAGTGAGGATAGAAATAAAATATATTTCAGCATTACCATGTTGAATCAGATATAAGTATCCTGGGAAAATCTTGCTCAACAACTAATTATCTATATTTGCTCCAAAAGAATAACTTGATCCATTTTTCTCTAAAAACCCTAATTTGAATTATTTGCTACCCACCTAATTTTACATTTAACTTTGTCTTTATTAAAAGAAAAATGGAAGGTTTTATTGTGTACATTGATGGAAACCATACCTAATAATTTATTAAATTAAATGACAAAAATTACCAAATATTTCCAAAGAAATAACTAAGGACAGTACTGAAAAATTTCTTTGAAGGAACGTCTACCTTAGTCTTAAATTTATGACCAGATCTCCAAATCAGAATCTCCTAAAAATATTTATAATACCATGGGAGTGGCTATAATGAATAAGAAAATCTAAATAATATATAAAAATTACTTTCCCCTTTGGTAATGTTTTTCTTTTACTATCTTAACAAATTTAAGGATATCAATTTTAAATAAATATAAGCTTCAGCAGTACAGTTCTGCAATCATATAACAAATCAATTTTAAGCTTAGCGAGTTTGACAATTGCAATAAAAAACATAGACACAATTATAATCCTTAGTAGGAAACTTTCCTTTTTACAGTTGACTTTCAAGAAACTACTACTCTTCTAATAAATATTATTTGGGGTACAAAGTCATCACCAACTGAAATATATAGTTGCAATTTGAAAAATGAAATAAACTGATGAGAAGGGGGTAGCTAATAAAACACTAAAAAACAGAAAGTAGAGAAATACCAGAGCAATATTACATCTCTTCCTTCACAATGCCAAATATTTATTTAGCATATGGCCTAAAGTCTTTTTTTTATGTCAGAGGGGAAATGTGCTGAAGATGTAACAAGGTTTGTGGGAGGCACATCCTACACAAGAGTGTAAGCACCCAATCATCATACTTATGGACTACAAAAGGATCCAAAGTCTTTCTTATCTCACAAATGTTTTTTAAAAAGTTACTTTTATCAAAGCCTGAAATTAATGGTCATAAATATCTTTAATTATGCTTTTTGTCTTTCATGAGTAATTTCCAGATTGGTGAGCATAAAGCTGTCTACAAATGACCCATCTGAAATGCCTCTGATTTTACCAACTTCCTATCCCTACTCCAAAAAAAATATTACTGGGTAGGCTTCACTAAAGAAATTGGTTTAAGTAACAAACTGCAACATATAGAAATTATTTCAAATTAGGATCAGTCATTGCAAAACAATAAACTAATGAAACAGAATCATAAACTCTAAAATAAATACGCAATGTTTTAAAAAAAAACTAAATAGCCCTGGCTGGTGAGACTCACTCAGTTGGTTGAGCACCCTCCCATGCACCAACAGGTCTCCAATTCCATTCCCAATCAGGGCACATGCCAGGGTTGCTGGCTTGATTCTCGGTTAAGGGTGTGTAGGAGACAACCAATGGTTGTTTCTCTCTCATACCAATGTTTCTCTCTCTCTCCCTCTCACTTCCTCTCTCTCTAAAGTCAATAAAAACATTTTTTTTAAAAATAAGCTAAACAGAATAAGTCTCTATAGGAGGAATCTCAAAAAAATTTACCACAAATTCATAAAACTGAGATAAAATTTATAAATAACCTATAATATTCCATATTCTACAATATTATTTGAAGTATTTTTAAACTTACCCAAATGAAGTAATGTAAACTGGGCTGCCAGTTCCTTTGCATCTTCTAACGTAGTACAGAGCTTGTCTGGCATGAAGTAACTCTGGGATCCATTTGCAATAGCAGGAATAACGATTTTATATACCAAGAGGACTTTGCCATCTTGACTTGTTGTTGAATATAAATAATATTCTGGTGGTGCCCAATTATTTTTATTGCAGTAATAATCTAAATGCATTACTGCAGAATTGAAATGATTTGATTTTAAAGAATACATACTAATTGGAGTAAGCTTTGTTCCAGGAAAAAATGGGTAAGTGCATCTATCGATTTCAGAGGGGCCTGGGCTATGCTGACCATTGAGACGAGCTGGAAGAGCTGGTGGCTTGCCTAGAGTTTTTGGATGGCTCTCTTCTTTGTTAGCAAAAACAATCAAGTTTTCAGAATTGGGGCTAATCTGACCATTAAGATGCTGTCTCCAAGTATTTTCTTTATTTACTGGTTTTGCCAGTGTTACCTCAATACTTGCTCCATCAATGCACTTCCCATTCATAACAGACATAGCAGCCACTGCATCTTCTCGGTTGAAAAAATGAACAAAAGCATAATCTCTAAGTTTCTTTACTCTTTCAACTGCACCAGGTTTGAATTTATTGAATTCTGCTTTAATTGTTTCCTCTGCAGTTGAGATCATTAAATTTCTAACATAGAGAACTTTAACTCTCTGCATGGTTTCCTCATCAACCTCTTTCTCTGGGTCAGCCCAATCCACTTGAATGGTATGGCCCCATAGTTGGAATGTTCCTACAAAAAAGAATAAGTTAATGTGAAGACAATTAAAACACAAGTCAAATATTGTTAAGTAAACTGTTTCTCTAAAGAAGCAGAAACTCAAATACATATCGATATATTTGGTTAAGTATTACAGGTTCCCACTCACATGAAAATTTACTAGGGCAAACCTAATCAGAACTTATGGTAAAATTAATTTTAAGACTAAACAAAACAAATATACTTCAAAGAAAGATCAGTAGAAGAATCAGACATTGCTTTTGGATTTTTATCAAGCAACAATTAACTTATAAATATATCATCCATTAATCAGTAAAGTATAAATAATGATTAATTTCATTTGCTTACTAACTTAATCCTTATTCCTCTAAAGGCATTATATTCATAATATTTATCTATAGAGTACTGTCATTTTTTAATATTTACAATAGAGGGAATATGGAAAAATAACCTTAAAAAGGATAGGTTACCTGGAATTAGTTTTCTCCGGGCCATAGCAGCAGCTCTGTGGGATTCATATTCAACAAATGCAAAACCACGATTTTTAGTCTTATCAGTTGCACTTGGATAAACAATGACATCTACAACTCCTTCTGTAACTTTCTTCATTTCATCCAAAATTTCTTCTTTCTTCTTTTCCTTGGGAATAGCTCCAATAAATAATCTGCAATTATCCAAGCTTACACATACACCAATAAACTTCCCTGGTCGAATCTCATAATTATTAAGAATTCTGATGGCTAATTGGGCTTCTTCTTTTGTAGTGTACATGACAAAAGCATAACCTCGATTTTCACCACTAAATTCCATCATAAGTCGAAATTCATATATCTTCCCAGCTCTTTCAAATACAGGGACTAACTCATCTTCATACATATCACGAGGTATTTTTCCTACAAAAACTTCACAGCCTCTAGGTGGAGGTGGACCTTCCCAACCTGAAAAACAAAAATACAGATAAATTTTAATAAGATATTTATATTCACTCTTCATTCATTCATTGCACAAATGCAGAGAGCTTTCTTTGTATCATGCACTATTCTAGGTGCTGGGGGATCCAAGAGTGAACAAAACAGAAACTTCTTCCTTTGCAAAGCATATATTCAATACAGAAAGAAGACTGAGTAGTAAGTGCTATAAAAATACAGCCACAGAAGGGTTAAGTTTTTGTAGTCAGGTAAATCTTATCTGATAACATTTAAGTTTAAGCAGATACCTCAATGAAATGAGAGAATGAGCTCTGAGGATACATCAGGAAGAAGAAAAAGCAAATGCTTTGTATATTAGAACTCAGAACACACAGGCTATATGGCTAACATGTACTTGAGGGAGGAGTAAAGTGATAGGTAAAGTGGTCATCAATGTAACTAGAAGCCAAGAATTCATTTTAAGTTTGATAGAAAGTTAATTGGAGGGTTTTGAGCAAAGAAAATGCATTGGCTATTGGTAGAAAAATAAAACATTATATATAACCAGAGGCTCAGTGCATGAAATTCATTCATTGGGGGAGAGAAGTCCCATCAGCCCAGCCTGTTTCCTCTTCCAGACCGAGAGCCCTCGAGGGATGTCCGACTGATGGCTTATGCCCACTTCCCAGTCAGACATTCTTAGGACTGCTGAGGAGGTGGGAAAAGTTCTCACCACAGCCACTGCACTCGCCAGCCATTAGCCTGGCTTCTGGCTGAGTGGTGCTCCCCGTGGGAATGCACTGACCACCAGGAAGGCAGTTCCTGCATTGAGAATCTGTCCCCTGGTGGTTAGTGTGCATCAAAGTGACTGGTCATTCCACTGTTTGGTCCATTTGCATATTAGCCTTTTATTATATAGGATTATCTGTTTGAATCTGATTTGCATCTAGCATAGACACCACTCCTTCCTCTACTCACTGGTCTTTCAAATTTCTCCCAAAGACCTCCCCTTTAATTTCTAGAGTACCCTTTTCCAAAGTGACTCAATCCTGACTTCTTTTCAAACCAATCTAATTTCTTTCTCAACTGCTTCTTAATGCAAGAGAATTAAAAACTGTAATGGTAAAGCATGCCTAACATTATAAAATTTACCTTCTCCCTTACATTAAAAATTATTCTGCCCTAGTCAGTTTGGCTCAGTGGATAGAGCAATGGCCTGTGGACTGAAGGGTGAAGGGTACATACCTTAATTGCAGACTCTATCCCCAGCCCTGGTCAGAGCACATGCAGGAGGCAACAAATCATTGTTTCTCTGTGTCTCTTCCCCTCCCCTCTACTCTAAAAAATCACTGAAAAAATATCCTTAGGTAAGGAGTAACAAAAAAAAAATGTATTGCTAAGGTCTAAAAGCAGTTACAAAAAATAGAGCTACTGTTTGGGATACTTGTAAAGATACACACATATCGAAAATGACTACACTAAAGCTTCAAATTTTTTTTAACATAAGCAAATCCACACCTGGAGGAGGACCACCAAATTTCCTTTGCCCATTTTCTTGAACCATGTTATAACCAGTCTTTTCCATCAGAGCAAGTAATGCTGCTTCATTCTGCGTACCAGTTCGGACTTTACTGCATCCATTTGTTCCATCTATATTTTCTTCATTCATGGCTGCAGTTCCTAAAACAAAGTATTAAAAAACAGTGATTATGACATGGAGCATCAGTAATCTATGAAGCATTACTTAAAGATGCAAAAAGCCAAGGATAGTTATGGCTGCTACATTTGGTGACCACTGCAGTCCTGCCCCTTCCCTCGCAAAGTTCTCTACAAGGAAGCTGCAAACTTTTAATGTCAATTAAGCAGTACCTTTACAAGGCCAACACTACAAGAAAGGTAGGTGAAAGTGAAAAAGAGAAAAATAAAAGGAACAACAAAAACAAGAATGGGTGAACAGAAATAAGTGAGATTTAGAAAAGGAAAAAGCAGTAGGATTAACAAAATAAAAATACTGCTGTCAATAAATATATGATCTATCCATACAGCTCAAAGTTTAAATCTTGTCCCATTATCTTAAGCTTCTACTACAAATCAAAATAGAGGAAATCAGTAAATTTATTTTTTAAATCTTAGAATAAAAAAGACTCTTCTAAAAAATAAACAGAAAAACTCAAAGGAACATATCTGAAAAGCAAACACACACACACAAGAAAATTACAAACAGAGCAAAATGACCTGCAATACATATAATAGAAGGCTTATTTCCTAAAATTAAAAAAAAAAAAGCAGGATATAGTATAATTTAGAGCAAACTCAGGTTACTAAATGACTGCTTAAATGTGAAACCTAGTTCTTCCCCTTACCAGCTGTGATTCTGGGCAAGTTTGGGCTCAGTCTTCTTGCCTCTAAAAAAATGGGTTATAATGGTTTCTACCTCACAAGGTTGTTGTCAGGATTGTGCATAAAGGGCTTAAAATAGTATTTTGCACCTGGCCAGTATTGCTCAGTGGCTGAGCATCAATCCATGAACCAAGAGGACACCAGTGCGATTCCCAGTCAGGGCACTGCCTGGGTGTCAGGCTCAGTCCCCAGTAGGGAACATGCAGGAGACAGCTGATGTTTCTCTCTCATGGATGTTTCTATCTCTCTATCCCTCCCCCTTCTCTCTCTCAAAAATCGATAAAAACATATTTTTAAACATATAGTATTTTGCATATATGCACTCTAAATGTATTAATATATAATAAAACAACATATGATGTTCATTTGATAAAATAATATTGTCAAATCCATAATAATAAAAGGGTAATATGCTAATTAGACTGGACATCTTCTGGATGTCATTTCGGATGTCCTTCCTGATGAAGCCGGGGCTGGAGGGAAGCCAAGGTCCCATCCAGGTCCCACGTGCCAAAGGGAAGCTTGTGCCAACAGCTGGGGGAAGAAATACCTACTCTTGCATGATTTTTCTTGGATCAGGCCTCTAATAAATAAAGTAATAAGAAAAGTACAAACTGTAGAACAGGGACTTCAAACTCAAATTCATTCACTTGTTCAACAAATGTTTATTAAGCATCTACTGTATGCTAGGAACTATTCTTTTATCTAGGAAATAGTAAATAAAAGACCAAAATTCCTCTCTTATGTAACTACTACTCCAGTGGAAAAAGCAAATGAAAATAAAAGCAATAAATAATATATGTTAAGAGCAGTTAAATAGTAGAGGGAAAAAGAACAGAGATAACACACATAGGGTGAGCAGGGAGGTTGGTAGGAAAAGAAAGGGTGCAATTTTAAAAAGGATAACCAGTATAGGCCTTACTAAGAAAGTAATATTTGAGTAAAGAATTAGGGAACCTAGACATGCCATTATTTGGGAAAATAATTCCACATAAATTAAAAAAATAATAAAAGACCTAAAAATGGAAGTGTGCATTGAATATAAAAAGTATAGCAAGGGAACAGTATGATACAGCCAGGGGAAGAACCTTAAAAGATGAATTCAGTGAGGTAACAAGCTGCCACATCACACAGACTTCAGCTTTTATTCTAAGTCAAATGAAGAGCCACTATAGATTTTGAGCACAGGAATAATAGATCTTTCATTTTCAAAGAATCATCTGGCTATTGTACTGAGAGATCAGTAATAAAGGTGGAAGCAGAGATCAATTAGAAGACTCTGACCAAAATTAAGGTGAGAGATGATGGTGTCATAGACCAGGGATGTTGTGGTGGAGGTAGAAAGTAGTTCCTGATATGACAGGTATTTTAAAGGCATATTCAATAGAATTTCCAGACAGATTGAATATGGATTTTGAGATAAACAGAGTAAGTCAAGAATAATACTAAAGTTCTAGCCTAAGCAATGAAAAAGAACTTAGGAAGGTTGAGGTGGGAAAGATTATAGGGTAAGTTCAGAACTCAGTTATAGACACATTAAGTTTGAGTATCCATAAAAAGATCATCTCAAATGCCTTACAAGGCCCTGACAAGTAATGTCAAATGAGTAGAAAGGCAAAACACAACACTCTAAGGTGTGCTATGGTCTGTACTTAATTAATCAGAACATCCATGTATCATCAGAAAAGGGCAGTGGTTACTTAATTTTAGCAAACTACTAAGAGGAAATCCAGTTTGCCTAGTTATGCCAGTTTCCAATTTTATGAGAAGCCAGAAATCTGCATATTTTTAAGTGAAATCTATTTTTAAAATTTGAGAGCCAAAGACCTGCATGCACATACTACAACTGCATAGCTACATAAATGGCATTTACATGTTCACACTCAGAGGCACAAAAATGTAATGACCAAAACTTAATCTGGTGGAAAATCATGTTTATACTTTAGTCCAGGATATATTTAGTTCCACATCTTAATTCAAAACTTAATGAGTCAAATTTCACAATTCAGTTCAATTCTATACAGATTTACTGAATGTTTCCCTTGTTTAGTCATTTAACTGGATTTTCAGTCATATTGTTAACCATAAAGGGTAGAACTACAACCACAAGTGGAGTTGTATGCCTCAATATAACTTTCTACTAAGTAGAGAGGACTGTATAATATTGGAAAGGGCTGCCACAGACAGCAGCTTCCTGCCAAAATAAAAGCATTCAAACATGGACAGGACAGCCGAAACCAGTTTGGCTCAGTGAACTGAAAGGTCCCAGGTTCGATTCCGGTCAAGGGCACATCCCCAGTAGGGGGTGTGCAAGAGGCAGCTGATGGATGTCTCTCTCTCATCGATGTTTCTAACTCTCTATCCCTCTCTCGCTTCCTCTCTGTGAAAAATAAATAAAATAAAAAATAAAAATGAAGGAATTTGTGTCAAATCATTCAAACTAATTAAATTGAAACTTCATCTTCTGAATGACTATAAAAATGTATGAAGTTGTGAAAATGGACACAGTAAGTTTTACTATAACTTAAAAAAAACTGAACACAATATTAAAAACATTAATTTTTTAAGGTATCAGAACACTTTTATAAAAAGTACATGAAATCTTTATGGCATTCCTTAAATTACATGGTATTAAAATGCAGATTTGTTAGTTCAGTTGTTATTGAGTATTGTACACGAGGCCATGGTCAATGGATATTTTTTTAATGGCAGCTCATTTTAATGACAGATTGCACTATAGCAACATGGTTGGAAAATGGAAAGATTTGGTTAAAAGTATAATGATGTGTAAGTCTAACACTTCAAAATAAGAGGTGTTGATGGATAAGTTCAATTCCTTTTAATATTATTTTTATTAAAGAATGATAACATATTTTTATTCTTATAAATTAAACATATATATGTAGCATATAAAAAGTTTTTGTATCAGGTTGAGGGAAGGTATAAATTTAAAAATATTTTTTAAAATTTAACTATTTTATAAGATAATTGTAACCAATTTTTAAAAAAATATTGCTTAGAGACGAAATCGGTTTTGCTCAGTGGCTAGAACATTGGCCTGCAGACTGAAAGGTCCCAGGTTGAATTCCAGTCAAGGGCATGTACATTGATTGCGGGGACATCCCCAGTAGGGGGTGTGCAAGAGGCAGCTGGTCGATGTTTCCCTCTCGTTGATGCTTCTAGCTCTCTGTCCCTCTCCCTTCTTCTCTGGAAAATCAATAAAATATATTAAAAAATAATATTGCTTAGAAAACAAAAGTATAATGCTCTTTGTACTTGGGATAAAGGTAGACCCATAGAACCAAAAATTATTGTATTCAACAAAATAGTGTACTACTATCCCTTACATAGTTTTCTATAGTCTGTCATCAGAAATCTGTTAAAATTTGAACATAGATATATATTTTTCACTGTTTTTCTTATTTAACCAACCATTGGGTAGTAAATTGAAATGAAAAACAATACCTGGCACTACCATGAAAATCTGAGCAAATCTTACACCAATTATATAATTTGTATCACAAACCCTACCTAAACTTACATGTCTACGTTTCCTAGCAACAAAAAAGACACCATTAAAAAAATGAGGCTTAATATCAGCCCATAAGTTATAGTCTTATGAGTTCTTACCTCATAATATGTCCAGTAATACATATTTCAAGTGTTTATACATATTATAATAATTGGCAATAATGTTGGAAGTCCAATATCCCACCTTAAGTGAAGATTAGCAATTAAAGCAGTCTTACACAGAAATTAAGGTACTGCTAATATTTAGTAATTGCACCACTAATAGTCATCTTCATATCTATAATATGGCATATGGTTTCAAACAAACTAATTTTAAAATGGAATGTTTTAAATGTGTACTCTGGCAGGAATTTATTACATATATTTATAATATTTATTTATTCTGAAAGGCTCCAAATGTAAGTTTGTTCAACTCCTGGTGATGCTTGAAATGAAAATATTTTCCGTTATTTAAATATATTCTGTTACTTAAATAAGCAAAATTCTACCGACATGTGAATATATTATTTGTATGTGTTATACATGCAACATACCCTGCTTCCTGGTTTTAATGCTGTACTTTATATAATGCTATACAGCGGGGAAAATCAGTAAGAAAGGCCAAGACTAAACGCTCCTGCTGATATACCCTCTTCATTGGCCTTAGGAGAATCACCATATATTATAAAAGCCATAGAGTATTTATCAAGAATATGAGAGCTTCGCCCTAGCCGCTTTGGCTAGGTGGAGAGAGGGTCA